GGTAGTGAAGGGTGGGGTACAAATTCAATATCTTTTCTTTGACAGGGAGGGGGATACCTTGGTGTTCAAACTGGGGGCCTTCTGATTCTATCACCAATTAAAGGAACGCAAGTGCTTGACTGGGGTGGCGTGTCCTGCGATTTCCCCTCTGTTTTATCTTCGTAATCCTGCAACGTGAGCTGGCCTGAAAAAGAACGACCACTCAGAGTCACACAATGAGCTTCAGAGCCAAGAGGGGGGGCGGAGCAGGGGTCTGGCCAATCCACGTCCTACCCCTGATGTCACTTCCTTTCTCTCCTTCTGTGGGCATGGAGGAGGGGGTTCCTGTTTTCCCACTGATGTGCCCCCCCCTTTCCTTGGTGCTGCTGGTTTTCTAAGGGGCACAGGAGCTGAGTGGCGGCCATAAATAAAATCCAGGCATTACCCTGGCCACAAAAAGAAACACACCTCAGGAGTCAGAGTGTCCATCTGGCCCGTGGAGGGCCAAAACCACGCTGTGTCATTTGGACATGGTGCAAAGGAAAGAGGAAAAAAATATCAGACTTCAGCTTTCTGATCCAAGGTTGGGCCTCAGTGGCTGAACACTGGCGTTGCGGAAAGGTCCCAAGTGGAGTCTCCAGGTTAAAAAGATCTCTGAGGCTGGGAAAGGCCTCTCTCTACACTTGAGATCCTGATATTTATTTATAAATTGAATTCCTAGACCACCCTCCCCTGCAAGGCAGGGCTCAGTGGCGGTGTGCAGCAACAAAAACATTATGTTGTCGAAGGCTTTCACGGCCGGAGTTCACTGGTTGCTGTAGATTTTCCGGGTTGTGTGGCTGTGGTCTTGGGCATTGTAGAATCTGACGTTCCGCCAGTAGCTGTGACTGGCATCCTCAGAGGTATAACACAGAAAGATGGAGTTCTCTCTGTGTCAAGGTGAGAAGAAAAATGGTAGGCAGGTCATTTATATCTACTCAGGAAGGCGGGGTAGGGCTGAGTCATTATCTTGCAGGAGTTCCCCAGGCTGTGAACATGCTAATGGAGGAGCTTTCCTGAGGAGGTTCTTTTGTATATGGATTGTTTCCTGAGGAGGTTATTTTGTATGTGGACTGGCTGTTGAAATTCTAATCTTATCTGTAGTGTTATTGTCAGATGTAGAGCCTTTTGTGTTTTTCAGGACAGGAAACCATGCCCTATTTATTTTTAAACTCTTTAACTCTCTTTCCTGTTAAAATTGTGTTTATGTTTATGAATTTCAATAGCTTACCTGTTTAATCAGGAAACAATCCCTATACAAAAGAACCTCCTCAGGAAAGCTCCTCCATTAGCATGTTCACAGCCTGGGGAACTCCCACAAAGTAATGACTCAGCCCTACCCCACCTTCCGGAGTAGATATAAATTACCTGCCTACCATTTTCTTCTCACCTTGACACAGAGAGTACTCCCTCTTTCTGTTATACCTCTGAGGATGCCAGCCACAGTTACTGGCAAAACGTCAAGTTCTATGCCAAGACCATGGCCAGACAACCAAGAAAATCTACAGCACCTAACAAAAACATTCATAATCAAAAATTTAAAAAATAGTTAACATACAGCAATTCACATTACTAGGTGATGCTAAAAACTTAAAATTGTGCCACTGCCCTATTTGGGGGGGGGGAGAAAATAGAGCATCAGGCAAGATGGAAACCGTCCATGTCCTCAACCAATGGTCACTAATGTTTCATAAGACTTTGGTTAAGGCCTTTTTTTTAGTTGCAGAAAGTGCTTCTACGATTTGGGTCTTTAAAACCATTTTAACCATTTTCTAAAAACAACAGCGTTCCGTGCGCCTTGGTGTTTAGTCATGCCGGCCACATGACCATGGAAACGTCTTCGGACAGTGCTGGCTCTTCGGCTTTGAAACAGATGAGCACCACAACCCTAGAGTCGGACTCGACTGGCTTTCGAGCAAGGGAACCTTTACCTTTACCTAAAAACAATTTTAACCAGAGAGAGCCAGTGTGGTATAGTGGTGAAGAGCCGCGGACTCTACTCTAGAGAACCAGGTTTGATTCCCCATTCTCCACATGCAGCCAGCTGGGTGACCCTGGGCCAGTCACAGTTCTCTCGGAGTTCTCTCGCCCCACCTACCTCACAGGGTGTCGGTTGTGGGGAGAGGAAAGATAAGGCGATTGTAAGCTGCTCTGAGACTCCTTCAGGTAGTGAAAAGCAGGGTATAAAAACCGACTCTTCTTTTTTCTGCAAACATGGTGCTTCCCCGGGTTTGCAAAAACATCTCACCTACCTGTACGTAGCCCCATTGTGCACACTTTTTGATCTACGACTTGGGGGCAAGTCTGAAATTAGATATATGATGGGAAAGGGAAAGAGAGACACATGAGCTTCAGGTACCCTCTCCACAGAGAGGCTGTTGTTGCCCAGTTCACTGCTGTGTTACCTGTTTCTTATCAGCCTTCTCTAGAGGAGATGATTCTGTGCAGCTTGCTTCTGGCTCAACACTCCACATCCCACCCTGAGGAAGCATTTCTGCCTGCTCTGTCTCTCAGAGAGCCAGTTTGGTGTAGTGGTTAGGAACGCGGACTCTAACTTGGGAGAACCGGGTTTGATTCCCCACGCCTCCACATGCAGCTGCTGGTGTGACCTTGGGTCAGTCACATGTTCTTTCAGAGCTGTTCTCTCACAAGCAGTACTTGAACGAGCTCTCTCAGTCCCACCTACCTCACAGGGTGCCTGTTGTGGGGAGGGGAAGGGAAAGGAGATCGTAAGCCGTTCTGAGACGCCTTCGTGTAGTGAAAAGCAGGGTATAAACCCAATCTCCTCCTCTTCTTCTCGGGTGTCAGAGCATCTCAACCAATAGGAGTCACAGGATAGAATCATTGAGTTGGAAGGGATCTCCAGGGGTCATCTAGTCCAACCCCCTGCACAATGCAGGAAATTACAACTACCTCCCCCACACACACCCCCAGTGACCCGTTTCATGCCCCGCAGATG